CTCTGCACCCCAGGGCAGCATGCTGCTGCAGTACTGGGTGCTTCTGATGACCTCTCACTCTGGAGCTGCTGGGGGAGATGACAGTTAAGAGGGGCTGTCATAGTTTCCTGCTTCCTTCAGAATCTTCATGTGAACCTTGCTTGTCTGACAAACCTGAGTGTGCACTGTTACCTTTAAGAAAAAAAGCACATTGTTGTTGGAAAGACAAAAGGGCCTGCACAGTTCCAAACCCCCGTGGCCAAATGTTTGAATGCAAAACAGAGCTGGGCCTGGGCTGGGCTGCGGACACAGGGGCCCACTGTCGGGCGGGGCTGAAAGTCTGGCATAGAAGGGATGGAGGCTGTGTGGGAGGACACCACTCCTGCACGACACAACTATGCGGCAGGACTGCAGCCAGAACCAGGACCCACGGTCCTGGAGAAGCCCTGCTGCAGAGGACCTAGAAGCCTGTCAGGGCTGCATGCTGCATAACAGCTCCTCCAAAGTTACCACGGAAGGAAACAGACCATAGCAGCACATTCAGCATCTGTGGTACAGCCTGGAGAGGCTGAGGAGGGAGGTTCTAGGGTTTGAGGTCACCCTGGGCAACTTAGCAATTTAATGAGACCCTGACTCAAAATAAAAAGGGCTGCTAAGAGCCGGCGCTCAGTGGTAGAGAGCTTGCATAGCATGCACGAGGCCTGCGGTTTCCCCGCCAGGACTGCAAAAACCCCACAAAAAATAGAAAAAGAAGCCCAGAGCTGTTGTCAGGGGCTAGCCTGGGATGCGGCAGGGCCACAGACTTCTGAAACAGCTATGTGTGGCAGGGGTGGCAACTGAGCTGGTGCAAACTCTCCTGGCATTGTTATTGCTGCTGCCACTGGGGAAACTGAGGTCCATAGAAAGGAAGCAACGTACCTGAGGGCTGCAGGTGACATGGTGGCCCATCCGTTCTGAAAAGGAGCCCACTGCCATGTCCTGAGGAGTGCAGGGAGCACACTGCTTTCTCTGTAGTTCACTTCCCACACCAACCCATTCTCCAACTCTCTGGACACCCACCTGGAGTTGGGCAGCCCCAAGGGTTAAGGAGTCAGTCCTGCAAGGCCATCACTTCACTTTGGATGCCAATTGCAAGTGGTGAGTTTCCGGGTGGCCCATGCTTGGCTACAGATCCATGCTTGGCTGCATGATCCCTCTTCAATTCCAAGGAACACTTCCCTGATGTTTGCCAGCTTTTTATATTAATAAAGGGTATAATGGTGTGTGGGGGGTGCAGGTGAACAGCCATATGCAGAGGTACACAGGGTGAGGCCTGGGAGGGTCCCAAGCACGGGAGCCTCAGTCCCAGGAACTTGCTCGGTGCTTTGCCGTGAAGGTGTGGCTGGTGCCAGAGCAGCCAAACCCAGCCAACACTTGCCATGGAAACGTCAGTGAAGTTCCGGTCACAGCAAGTGACAACTGCGCAGGAAGGATGCCAGGACAAGACAGGGCGGGAAGCAACCGAGCCACGGTGAAGCCTGGTGAATGAGACATCAAAGGTGATGTCTCAGGATGCTAAGGTGATGTCAAGTGGAAGGGCAAGGCCCCAGGGACCTGAATGTCACAAGAGTAGGCTGAGCTGGCCGCAGTTCCAGGAGAACACAGTGGCGACTATTTCTGGACCAGGTGGTGACTTCATGGGTGTTCGCTTTGTGATAGGTCATTGAGCTGTGCATCTGTTTTGGACCTGTTTTTGTATGCATGTTAGATTGCACAGTAAGATAGACTGACAAAAGAGGAAGAAATCAGTCAAGAGAAGGACCTGCCCTGGGGTGTAACCAGCGCAGCAGGCAGTTCCTGGGGCCCAGGCACCTCTGCCTTCTCCTCCTCTTCCTGCGCTTGCCTCTCTTTGGGTTTTTTCCACACGCTGGCTGTGGCAACACTCGCTTGTGGGTCATGTGGCTGCTGCATGAGCAAGATGTGGCACCTTCCCTGGTGCCTCGCCCATCTCTCCTGCACTCCCCAGGCCTCCATGCCAGGCAACAGCCGCTTCCCCGTGGCCCTTCTTCACTGATGCTGCTCTGCCTGAGTGGCCACAAAATGAGGAGGATCCCACAGAAGGGAGCAGAGGGGGAGCTGCCTTCTGGCCTTCTGCCTGTTGGTGTACAGGGAGCCCGGCCCAGGAGCACTCGTCCAGCTGCCACCTGGGAAACCTGCAGCCCACACCTGGGCCAGCTAAGGAACTGGGCCGGATCTACCTGTGTGTACTCTGGGCCCTGCACCCTAAGGCCATTCATTAAGGACAGTCACACTTGCTTCCCGGGACAGTGGCCTGGTTTCAAGGCGATGACACTGGAAAGCACTCGGCACTCACCTGAACCCGAGCTTATGCCTCTTCCCCCAACCACCTGCCCTTCCTGCAAACCAGACCGGTGCATGCAGTCTGCCAGACAGCTCTTCAGGGGATCCCAGGACGGCCTCCAATCCAGGCAGGGTGCAACGTTGTCCTCGGCTCTCATGGCCCCAGCAAGAACCCTGGGACACAACAAGAGAGCTACTGGGGCCTCAGCAAAGGAACTGTGGGGGTGGGAGCTGGCTTGGTAAGAAAGTGTTTGCCTAGTATGCACAGGGTCCCAGGTTTATCCTAGTGACATAAATAAAATAACATAGGTGACCTCTTCAAGAGGGTGAAAGATTCTTTTGTATTGCACCTAAGCCCACTGTGATATTGTGAAATACATATCTGGTATTCACCCATTTCCTGGCACACATACTTCTTAGCATCTTTGGAATTGGGGCTGGGAATACACAATACACTCACAGCTCGGTGGTAGAGTCCATGTCCAGGAGGTGCAAGGCCCCGGCTCTATCCTCAATGCCACCAAAAGAGAAAGAACTGTCCCCAGGATCTTGAAAGTGAGGTGTCTTTTGTGTGCTCCCAAGTTAGTCACAACAGTTACCCCTCATGGCGGGATTAGAGGGCTGGGGTTTTCAGCCCACTGCCTTCAACCTCTACCTGTGCCCTTCCTCAGGGCCTTTGCATTTGCCGCTGTTGGCCAGGCCAATCTTCCTCCAGCTCTACCCTGTTCCCTTCATTACTCGTAGGCAGGCCTTGCTCTGTGGAGTGTCGCGCAGCATGGTTCATGAGAATGCGTCCCTGTAGGAACTGAGCGGAGACAGTCATGGGCAGTCACCATGCCTCTCAGGCCCCGTCTACTCTCACTCTCTATTTGTCCCCTGACTTAGTCTAAATCCTGACACCACAGCACACCAGGAACTTCATAGACCCCACAGTGAGGGCTGGGATGTAGGCCCCATGCACGCGGGGTTTGTTTCATGGGTTGTGGCGTCACCCGCTGGAGCAGAGCCCCGACAGGAAGCTGCTCAGTGGAGGGACAGATGACAAGCCCAGGCCTCTCCTTCATTCCCTTCACCCTACAGTGCCTGCCTCAGGCCAACAAAGAGGTCCTGGTGGCTGTGCGTCCATCTGCTTGGTCCCTCTTCCCCTGCCTGCCCCCACCACATTTCCTCTCTAGTCCCTAGAGGGAGGGAAGGCACTCTCAGACGGCCTGGCCACCTCCTACCAGTAGGTTGGGTGATTGGGAAGGCCTGGCCTCAGGGCGCCAATGAGTGGCCCTGAGTGCTAGGTATGCATGTGGCCCCAGGCCCAGGACGCAGTTCTGTCTCCTCCTTCCCTGGTCCACTGCAGCCTCCGAGGCTGGGCCCATGTGGAGCCTGAGCACAGAGTGGGAGAGAGGGGTCTGTGGATCAGATCTGTCCCCATCCTCACATTCCCCATGTCTGCTTGGTTTGTTTGTTTGTTTGTTTGTTTTTGTTCTTGTTTTTCTTCCGGTACCAGGAATCGAACTCACGACCTTGCGCTTGCCAGGCAGGTGCTTTTGCCGCTGAGCTAAATCCCCATCCCCATCCCCATGTCTGCTTGGGAAGCAGCCATGAAAATAGTGTGGGGACAGCAGAGGGGAGGAGGGGCCTGCACCCCAGCTTGGAGGGCTGGGGTGCTTTCTGGACATGAGGCTGGAGTGTGATGTGGTTTTAAAGCTCAGCACCCTACTCCACTTCCTACAATTTTTATCTTAAGAAGTCTTGTCTTTTCATTCCTTTCCATTTCTCTCTCTGTCTCTCTGGTATTGGGGTTGAACACAGGGCTTCACATATACCCGCTGAGCTACACCCAGCCCCTAAAAATAATTTCAACCTAACAGAGAAGTTTCAAAAGTAGAACAATAAATGTTCAGTATGATTTACTCAGATTTCTTAAGATGTTAACATTTGACCACATTTGCTTCTCCTTCTCCCTCCCTCCTGGTCCCTTAATAAACTTTTCCAGAGAGGTTTCAGGGTGAGCTGCAACTGCAAGCCCTTTCCCCTCGCCGGGTTTCCAGATTTCCTACAAACAAGGGCATTCTTTACAGTCACCACTGTACCAAGATCCCACCCCCATTAGGCAACTACTGCAACACAGCACACCGACTGGGTGGCATCCGGAGGAACTCAGTGTCAGCCCAGGAGCCGAGCCTGGGTATTGCATGGGCAGTGGAGATGAGGGGCAGCTAGTGAGTACAGAGGGCCAGGCTGTACCCAGGGTGATCAGGGAGACAAATCTGCAGAGCTGGCAGCACCGCTTACAGAGGCTGAAACCAAGCCCAGGGCTGAGCTTGCCCCAAAAGCCGTAAGGAGCCTGGAACTCTCGGGCCACCTCAGCGGGCTCAGGTGTGCCCTTTAGTCTGACTCTCCTGGATTCTGTGTGAGGTCCCAGCCTAGAGCCGATGATCCCAGTCGGCCAAGGGCCCTCCGTCTGCCAGAGAAGTGAGTTGCAGTGTTCATTGAGAAGTTCAACGAGAACAGAATGTTCTTAGCGGTCAGGGAATAGGGAGTGGAAGGGCAGGGAAGGAAGAGAAAAAAAATACTTGTGAGCTACTGGCTAGCAGCAGCCTGCTCTGTTTTGCAACCGATGATGTGTCCTGATGAGTCACCTCTTCTCCCAGGGCCCATTCTCTCTGTGTCACCTCCCACGTTGTGTGTCTTGTTCCAGCCACCTGGCACTGTCCCCTCTCACCTTCCTGTGTTCTTGGTGCACCTAGGTGTGGATTATTCATACCTGGGTGCAAATCCCCCCTGCAGCTGGTGTGTGAGCTCAGGAAGGTATGGGGCCATTGTGAGCCTCAGTCCATTCCTGTGGGTTGTAGGAATTCCAGTGGGAAGGAGGGGTTTTGCATATAGTAGGCCTCCAAGGCCTGTATGTAAGCCTGGCCTGGTCATTTGCTGGCCTTAAAGGCCCTCAGCTTCCAAGGCATTTTCTCCCCCAGCTGCAACGGAGCCCTTGCTTGCTGTGAGGACCTCACAGGGTCTGGCTCACCTGCAACGGCACATGGAAGCACTCTGTCCCTGTCTGCCAAAGCCACAAGGGAGACGAGCCGGTAAGTCATGAGCACCATGTGCAGACGCCTAGGAAGCATCAGTGGGTCTCCCCGGAGACCTTCAACCAGGGTTCTGGCCAGAGCCCTGCTCAAAGGCAGGTACAGCTCAGGCAGCCTGCAGAGCCGAAGCTGACTGTGCTCAGCCTGCGCTCAGGGCAGGCTAAGCAGCTTCCTGCAGGGGGAGCGCTCATGGGCGTGAGATCCCTGCACACAGAATTACTGAGGCTGAAGAGCAAGAGATGCTGGGGTACCAGCAGGGCATGGGTTTGGGGCATTGAAGGGGGTTGTGGACAGAATTGGCCAGGTTGGCTGCGCCGGGCCCTCCACCCTCATTAGGGCCTAGGCAATACATAGGGTGGGCAGAATGTGGGCATGCAGGCAGGGGTGTGGAGGAATAGGGGGCTTTCTTGGCTCCCTGGGGTCACCTGGCACCAGTGCATCCTCATGTTCCTTACCTGCCTCTCTTAGCTGCTCCAATTGCAGTTCGAAGGCATCACAAATTGCTCTGTGATGTTCTGGTGCCAAACCATGTCCCTGGCCCACACCCCACCACCCTGGGGCTTGGCACCAGCTGCACTGTCCCTGGAAGACAAGCTTCCTCTGATGGTATAAGTCTCAAAGGCTCTAGTCAGAGGCATCGCCACCTGGCTGGCAGGGGAAGGTGCAGCCTGAGGTTCGGCAGGGCAGAGATACTCCTGTGGTAGATGGTGCAGAGGTTTTGAAGCCACATAGCCTGGTACCACTTGCTCGCTGGATGGCCGGGGACAGGTTATGAACCTCTCTGCGCCCAGTTTTCCCATCAGTAAAATGAGGCCGGAAGGGGTCCTGACCTCTGAGCCATGCTGATCAACATGAGGTCAAATGCGCAGGTCAAATATGCTAATCCAGGTGAACTTCCTGGAGCCATGTGACCCCTGTGGTGGACTGACAACTGGTGGTCAACTTGTAACACCCAGCTGAACTGAGTCAGTGCAATGTTGGGCTTGGGAGGCCCATCTGAGGAGTGTTATGTCAGCAGCATAAAAGGTAGAGCTAGAGAAGAAGAGGAGAGGCTGCTGGGAGCTCGTAGACGTCATTTGGAAAGCTATTAGGGAGTTGCTGGCTTTCTTGGGCTATTCTGCTGGAGAATCTTGTCATGCTGGCTTTCCTGATGAACTTGGCTGTTCTCTTCATCAAAGGAGCTCGGGACCTTACTGTCGCCCACAATGGCTACGGTCCACTTTGAAGGGAGCTCTGGTCCTCACTCTGAGCATCGCTTCCTGGCTCTGGAGGGGAAGATGGTACACTGCTCAGTCTCCTGGAGAAGCTTATCATGTTGGCTTCCTTGATGGGAACTCAAGTTTCCTCATCACCAGAGGAGCTCAGGACTTCACTGTTGCTGAGGATGGCTGTGGTACTTTTCAGGGGAGTCCTGATTCTTACTTTGATCATCGCTTCCTGGCTCCAGTGCAGATCCCTCAGCCTCCTAGCACAGATCCTTCATATCACTGGCACAGACTTTTTAGCTTCTACCACTGACCCTTGGGCCTTCCCAGTGCAGATCCATGAAACAGGCCTGCATGAGACATTATTACAGGCTCTTGGCCTCCAGTTGGACTCGTGGAAGGCATTGTTATGAGCTCTAGGTCTTCAGCTGGACTCATGCGGGATATTATCATAGGATCCAGGCCCTCAGCTGGATTTTTTGGTCTTTAGTATGTGGACAGATTTCCTGCATGCTTTTTGTATATAATTCTTTGAGTGACTGTTATAATCTTATAAAATATGTGTCCTGTATTATATTGTTCCCCTTGCAAAACCCCAAACTACAACAAGCCCTTCTTGAGGGCCCTCAGGGACCTGGCCTGGTCCACTGTCCAGCCACATCCCTCACCACGTCGGGCCCTCCCCAGGGCATCTCTCATGGGCCTCCAGTCCCTATAGTGCCCTTGGCCGAGTAGCTCTCTCCATCCTGCCAGGCAACCCCTACTCCCCCCGCCACTCTCCTCTCAAGTGTCACCTCCTCCAGGAAGCCTCCTGCTGAGATTGACATGATTAACCTCACCCAAGCCTGCAAAATGTTTCATTTTCTTTCTTTTGTGGTGCTGGGACTCAAACCCAGGGCCTCACCCATGCCAGCATGGAGCTATGCCCCAGCCTACCTGCAAAGGCTAAAAAAACAGCCAAGCTGCAGGAGCAGGCACTTGGACCTTGGCTGCAAGGCTGGCCCCCTTCCCTCTGCCCACATTCATCTTGCTGTCAGGGTTGTGAGGATGTTGGAAGAGCCACCTGCCCTGGATCTGCTCAACACTGAGGGCCCATCCCACCTGTGGGCCTCCCCAGGCATTGCCCTGGGTGAGGAGGGTCCCCTTGCCCACAGCTCTGCTTCCTTCCTGGGCAGAGGATATGATACCCTAGCCATCCTTTCCGGGGACATGGCCCCTTGCCCCACCCTGGGACCACAGCTGCCCAGGAGGCCTCTTATGAGACTGCTCACCCTTCCTCCCATCCCTGGCCCCCGCTGAATTCCCTAATGTGCACCCTTCTTGCATCTCCAAGCAGATTTCCTATGCATGGAGTGAGCAAAGGATAGAAAGTGGAGCTGCACCTGCCCTTTAGTGGAATGTGAGTTCCCTGAGTGCGGGCTGCAGCATCTGGTTCACTGTTCCTCCCATGCCCAGCACAGGGCTCAGTGCCTGGCTGAATGAATGAATGAATGAATGAGTGCACTACTTTAGGCGGGGTGTGAGGTTTGGCTTAGTGCTGGAGCACTTGCTCAGCATATGCAAGGCCCTGAGTTCCAGCCCCAGCACTACAGGAAAAAGTGTCCAAATAAGGCTGGGGAATGCAGTGCCCAGTACTTTCTTGTCAGGCATTCCACACCCATGCACAGGGAAGGCTCTGAGAAGTCTCTGGTGGAGAGATGGTTTCACCAATTTCATCCAACACTCTCAGGTGCATCCACACCCTGCCTGTCCCTGACTGCTCATGTGTGACAATGTGCCGCATGAGAGTTACGGGAGTCACTGCTGAATTCTGTGCTGAGTACGAGTCCATCCACTCAGGAGCAGTAGGGATGCTCTGGGGGAGGAGGAGGGGCTCAGATTTAGCACAGAGCTGCGAGGCTTCTCCCCAAAGGCTGCCCTTATGCTTGAGAGTGTCACTGTATGCGCGGAGCTCTGGGGTTGTGAGGTGGAGGTGGCAGGCAGCTCTGAGAGGACTGAGGGGCAGCTGCTCAGAGCCCTTATCCTGGGGAGGCGGAGGTACCCTGCCCAGGTTTTCGGCACCGCCGCTCCCTGTGCGGTGTGGGCCTCTTCCCTCCTGACAACTTTGCCGCATCACTGTGGCTCCTCCAGTACTCTACCTGGCTGTGGGACCAGGGCAGCAGGCCCTGGAGAGGCCTGGGATGGCTCTGGGAGGGCAGAGCACGGCATGTCCCCAAGAAGAGCAGGTGACTGCATGGCACAGGGGTCTGAAGTCTCTTCGATCCCAGTGAGGCGCTCCCAAGAAAGACTTCAGAGTCCAACACATGGTGGCACACGCCTGGATCCCAGCACTCAGGCGGCCGAGACAGGAGGACCTAGAGTTCAAGGCCACCTAGTGAGTTCAAGGCTGGCCTGGACTGACAGTGAGATCCTGACTCAAAACAAGTGGAAAAACTGGAAAACCAAAGCAAACCAAACCAAAACCATGTCCCAAATGTGGAAGCAGCCCAGAGGGAGAGTGGGGGCGCCCTTCAATGTGTGGTTCAGAGCCTCCTCTCCTTTTCAGAGAGGAGCGGGGAGTCCTTTGAAGAGGACCAGCAAGGCCCTGCCCCACTCCGGCTGGAAGTTAAAACTCATTTTGGCCACGACAGACATTGCTGGTTGTTTTCCCAGGTTCCACACACTCCTGTCTCTCCTGGCCTTCCCCTACCCCACATCCTAGAACAAGATTGCTCAACTGTGTAGTCTGGTTTAGGGGTAGACATGTGACAGGTCTGGACACCAGGATTTAGGAAGAAGTTCCCAGGGAAGAACAAAGTTTTTCCAAGGACAGATATTTTAGCCATTTACCCTTCCCTTGTCTTTCTGGAATATGGCTGTGAGTCTTGGAGGGGCAACAGCCATCCTGTCACCATGAGTCAGCAGGTATAAGGTAAGAAGCTGTCGTAGCATCTAAAGCCAAATGTATTTCTACTTGCTTTAACACCTAACAAAGTGGTATTTCTCTTATGACCAGTCAAAAGGAAGCCATAGAGGCAGACGCTGACTGTACCCATGCCAGCAATGCCCACTGCGGGAGACTTTTCAGTCAGTGCACTGGAGTCCCACAGACACTGTGGAGTCACTAGCACACTGCACAGTCTGTGTGGCTGTGTTTGTTCTATGTCCATGTGCACTGAGCTCGTTGTTTTCTGATGAAGGTCTGCTTTTTGGAAGAAGGTGTTGGTCGTGGGCTGAGAGCAGTTTCCATCCTGTTCCTGGGGCTGCTTGTGGCCAGAGAGTCCAACAGCCAGGTGTGCACGTGTAGGTTACGGAGAGATGGTGCTCCACTTGGGGTGTCCTCTACATCAGGCTCCCACTCCCTTGAACTGCACGACAGCCATCCTAAGAGCTTGGGACCTATGGAAGACAGCCAGTCTCAAGGCTGTGGGGAAAAAGGAACCCTCTATACAGTTGTAGGAATGCAAACTAGCACAACCACTGTGGAAATCAGCATGGAGATTCCCCCAAAAAACAAAACTAAAGATTTCATTTCACCCAGCTGCTCCTCTTCTAGGATATTGTCCCCAAAGAGTTAAAGACATCTTGTTACAGTAACACATGCACACCCATGTTTATAGCAGCATAATTCATAAGAGCTAAATCCTGGAAGTGGCCTACATGTCCATCCACAGATGAATGGATAAAGACAATGTGGCATTTAAACCCAGCGGAGTACCACTCTGCCATCAACAACGTTAAACGAATCATTTGTAGGAAAATGGATGCACCTTGAGACCATAATGTTAAGTAGAGTAAATCAGACATGCAAGCTTA